ATTTATATTTTCTAGTCTACTCTATTGGCGTCTCCGTGGTCGTCTCGCCAGAGAGCGTGCGAGGAGGATGCAGAAAAGGAGAGAGAACGACAGGGCGATGCTAGAGAAAACCTCGAAGATAATTTCCAGCCACCTAAATGAATTGTTCTTTGACTAGTCTATTTGCTTCCTCGTGGTCGTCTCGCCAGAGAGTGCGATTGATTGATTGATTGATTGAGTGATTGTTCAGTGATTCCGGACACGTTCCGGCTAAGGTCCCGTAAGAGTAATTGCATGTTTTTTGTTCGGGAGGTAGCGGTGATATTTCCCTTGCTGTATGGCGAGATCCGGCGCCGACCAAACGTCAGCTAGCGGGGTTTCCCTTCATGCAGGCATCTCTCACCGCCCCAGCCGGGACAAGCTCTTAGCTCCGGACGGGTCTCTCGGCATGTGTGGTAGCGTAGTGCATTTTAGTGTGTGTGTGTGTGTGTGTGTGTGTGTGTGTGTGTGTGTGTGTAAGGGGTAAAGATAGGATAAGGAAGAGGAAGGCGAGATCGCGGGCGGTTCGTGCCCTGTTTGTTAGGGTACTGCTCCGGCGACTTGTCGTTGATCGGAGAAACCACGGAAAACTACCGACCAGAGCAACCGATCGCTGGAATTCTCCTCCAGACAGCATCTGCATTCGATGTAGCTGGTGGTAAAAATTGTGACATCGCCAGGACTCGAAGCTAGGACCTCCCGATCAGAGGGACAGCAGTGACGTCAGATGACGCCCTGAGCCATCTCCCCCGGTCCAGGGAGCGCGAGGGTTGCGTCATCGCTGGCCGGGGACCGGTGAACTGCGACGAGGTGGGAGCGAGGGCAGGGGCTCGTGTAATTGCCGGCCTTCGCGCGTCGGGGCGCGTAGCGTCGCGGCGCCCGTGGGGAAAGCGTTCACTCGACGCTGCCTCTGCCGCCCCCGTCCCGCCAGACACGCGAATCCCCTCGGGGTGCGAAGGCAGGAGCGAAGCTGGGAGGAGCGAGCGAGACCCGTTGCTCGGGTGTCGACGAAAGCAAGAGCTTCAACGGGCGTATGAGTTTCTTGTAAGAAATTGTAACAAGTGAATGCGAGTAAAGTAGGGCGTCTATAATATTAAGTTGCGACCTTTCTCTTGCCCTTTGAACACATATCTCTGTTTCTGTGAAATAAAGACAATAAAAGCCTGTTTGTGCTGATTAGTCTACAGTACTATCTCGGGCATCTATAAGATTACTTTGCATCCTGTCTCATGCCCTTTCAACCTATATCTCTTTCCGTGATGTAAAAGACCTGTGTAAACTGATTTGCTTATAGTTATCTGGGGCATCTATAAGATTACTGCACGTCCTTTCTCGTGCCCTTTGCAAATATAGTCCTCTCTCCGCGAAGTGAAGGTTCAGATTTTGCTAATGACCAGTTTTACTTAATGCAACCCTGCCTGAACATTCGTCTTTATTAGTTCTCGCAATAATAATTCGCGTATTTTGTGCTCCTTTTTGCGCTAGGTCTTCTATAAATGGTGGTGATATTCGTTTGGAAAAGGCAGGGATGATTTCTTAGCTGTTGTTCCGGGAGACCTAGAGCGTGAGAAATGTTAAGCACGCAGCTGAATTATATGGTTAAATGGAATTCGTGTGCAGTGCGCGAACGAGCATGCCAAATTTGCCCTTTCAAATTCGTGTTCCTCTTAACTAAATCAAACTTAACCCAACTACTTTAACACATTCAACCTTTTCAATCGCTGCCCATTATGCGTGTCATATGTACACGTGCTTCAGGTGCATGTTTCTCAAAACCACACTCGCGAGCGGGACACAAGGCGCCGCTGCCGGTTCGCTTGTTGCCTCTGTTTAGTACGAAAAGTATTGCTTCAGACGTGTTAGGTTTGTGGACTGCTCAGTTTGCTTATTTATTTGAGTGATTTCGGGCACGTCAACTAACCGGGTCATTAGTACCGTAAGTGTAGTGCATTTTTTTCGTGGAAGGTGGCGGCGATCTTTCTCTCGCTGCATGGCGAGGTTTGGCGCCGACCTACCGTCGTCTAGCAGGGTTTTCTCCAACCAGGTATCTCCCTCTGCACCAGCCGGTACAAGCTCTAAGCTCCCAACCGGCCTCCTGGCATGTGTGCTTGGGTAGTGTGTGTTAGTGTACGTGTGTGTGTAAGGGGTGAGGACAAGACAAGGAAGATGTAGGAAAGATCGCGCGCTTGGTCAGAGGGACTGCAGTGACATCAGTTGTTGACCTGAGCCATTTCTTCCAATGTGGAGTGGTCGGTATTAACTAGCATATTGAAGCGCGATGCTCAAACAAAGAAATAATATATATGACACTCGATATTTACATGTATACTCGTAGGCAGATTAAGCTCATTGGTCACGGAAAAATTATATTATTTATTTGAAAAGTAGGCAAGGAAAAACTAGCTTTGTGTACTTTTAGCTTGCATAATTTGCAAGAAACATACATTTGTGAGAACGTTTCTACCGTGACAAATCCACCTAATCATAAGCAATTTTATTAGATTACGCTGTTCTTGTTTTGAGTAGAAAGTGGTGTTTTATTCCATAACTGTGCATTAAGTCGGTTGATTTACATTAAAAGACAGTGCATTGAATTTCAAAAGGAAACGCATTAAGATAACGGCTAATAAGATGGTGTTCTTTGACCAAGAAAGTAATTTGACTTTCAGATATTTTTCATTTATTCGATGGTATACTTTCGACTAAAGTTAACTTTCAAAACTGAGACAAAATCATGATTTCGATATTGTTCTTTGCCATTATTCAGCGAATTATACAGTACAAAACATTAGAGGAATGTTTTTTTTCTTGAGTTTGGAAGAATATTTGTAGTGAAAGGAGATTTAGTCGAAATGCCGCGTCATTGCTTTTCTTTAATTTGATGGACAGCGCAAATAGAAGTGTTATTTTTTCAAAACACTTTCTCCAATTAAGACGCTTATCTTAACTTGTCGCAACTCTTACCTTTATCGTTTGTTGGCCTGTGCGTTGTAATTATCACAGACGCTTGCACATTCTCTGCCGCCGGTTAGGCCGTGTCATTTCCTCTTGGATTACGCTTCCGTGCTATGGAGTGCCCTACAAAACCTCAGCCACTGAGTTCCGTCATTTAACAACCTCGTTATGTTTCTACAACATCTCTGTGTTTTCATCCGAGCGACTGAGTACTTTCTTTTCACGAAGGATTCAGATACATAACAATATTACAGAGGGGTGATTTGCTAAGGAGATAGAGAAATTTGAAGTCATGTTGAGAAAAAGATGGGGAGGGGGGAGGGGGGAGGTCCTGAAAATTCTGACAAAACGTTCCGGATGCATTCATTAATCCTGCCCTGTTTATATCGTACCACTCAATAATATTTTACTTCATGATTGATCAGTCAATTTTTTTGGCATTGCCATCATTTCATTCCATTGAAATTATGTGGATGAAAATGTTGCTAATTGTATAGCCTATACATACACAATTAGCAACATTTTCATCCACCAAATGAACTGAACAATTTAAGCAATTTTAGTTCAGCCTTATTTCTCTTGATTGTTGTATATACTAGTACTGCAAATCCAATAAACCATGGGTAAATGTAAGAAATAGACTGCAGAAAATGGAGATCATTCATAGTAAGATGTAGAAGGCAAAGGACTGCTTCTGGTTAACAAGTTTCTACGAAATGAAAAATAGCCTTCATTTTCAAAATTGTAATTTTTAAAATGTCAATTTTTAATTATAGTTTTGTGTCGTTTTTGCGATTAATATAATTGAAATTGCTAGCGTAATAATTGTTTTTGTTATTATTACTGTAATTAATAGTCTAATATTGGAAACGTGTTTTTTGATGCGATTAGTGAAACGATCCTAAAAGAGGATGGACATGATGAGCTTTCTTAAATTAATTTCATTTTGTGATGCAGGAATGGTGTGACGTGAAGAGTGATGGGTTAGGTATATTCAAAGAAAGAATTCATAAGAAAATTTATTTATATTGATATTTCCAGATAAAGTAGTATTAATTGCAGCGAGGTCGCGATTATCCAAGTCTCGATTAACCGCAATTCTCAGTTAACAGACATGGTCATCACAAAAACAAACAAAATAATTCATCAGAAACCGAGCACAAAAGTGTATCAATTTGACACTGATATAACAGCGAGTCTGCGTGAGTACAGGCCTTCGATTCTAGGAATATTGGACCTCCACTGATTTGATAATCATCGGATTCGTTTTTCAAACATTAACATATGGTTGTCAAATGAAATTATGCGAGTTTCTTCGTTTTCAGATTAGCCTTGGTACAATTACCTCGTCATTTGTTGTTTAATGCTATTTGAAGAGCTCGTTTCCAATGTGACGTAACAAGTTTTCAAGACGGGAATATATTACAATTCCGACTTATACTTCAAGATAGAATTCATCTGTTTTCTGATACCGTTTAATGTAGGAGAAATGCAATTTTAGAACACAATATTTGGTCTAATGATGGAGGACCGTCTTAAAAATGCAGTGAATGTTTACTAAATAAGATTACAGCCCTAGCAGAACGTAGTTCATGGGCAGCATACTACCTTCCCATGGTGTGAATACGGGTTCCATTCCCGATCGGGGACAAAAGTAGGATTGTAGCTTTCTTTAAATGTCACCTCCGTTTCTGTAGCTTTTGCGACGAACAAAAGCTCAGACAGTGGGCGGAGTTTGCTAGTTATGGTGAAGGGAAAACGTCATGTTCACCTCATGCCTCTTTTATCCCCCGAGCGTGGGAATTAAATTAGGCTTAGGCACGGGCGCCATTAGCTAACTGACAAATTTGAACATTCGACCCAAAATGCCAAATACACATGGAAATGGTGATACGTCACTTCGGAAATAAGCTCTGCAATTCTGTACAGTTTTAGTTTTTACGTTTTCCACCGAACTTTATCCTGAAACAAATCGCTGGCAATAAACGTAAATACAATCCTAACGGACGCCCTCTGGTGTTGCGCAGTTGGTGTTCTCGCCGCAGCCGGGCGTGTCGGCGGCGCTGGACCCGCGGCGGCAGCTCTCCCTGCAGCAGCAGACGCACATCCTCACGGACATCCAGCAGCACCACCACCGCTTCTTCCAGCAGCCGCAGGCGCAGCACCAGCAGCCGCCCCAGCAGCTGGTCCCCCAACAGCCGCACCACCAGCAGCAGCACCCCGCGCATGCGCAGCTCCTCTACTCGCAGCAGACGGACGTGGGCGCCAGCGCGCCCTCGGCGCCCAGGGAGACGGAGCCCATCTTCCAGGTGAGCGCTTTGCACAAACACCTTGACAACGCCCTTAAGAAAGCCCACTTCACTGCCTTTCTACACACTCGACATCACCAAAACGTTCTGCACAATCCACCCTCCGCAAAAGACTTTTTGCACATCCTTTTGATATAAATTAATATGAACTGCAAATGGGCATAACCTAGTGGCAGCTAATTACATAAATAATATAATACAGCTAAGACGCAAATTATATAATAATAATAATAACAACAATACAATAACAGGAAATAATATTTAGCTTTTGAAAACTTTAACAAATATTTAGAAAATAAATTATAAATCCATACAATGATTCCTGTCTTGTATAAAACTACACGTTTCTGAATCTATTCAAAGTAGGGGATTGTCTTGCAATGTGTAAATACTTATTAAAACAACACAACATTCTTTTGAATGGTCGTGTATTTTGCTACCTGAAATCAATTTGTATAAATATCTATTATCAATATGTTACACAATCAGTGAAAAATAATTGAGAGCTGAGAGAGCGAACACGAAAGAAACAAATAAAATGCAATTTACGACTTATATAGCAGATTCGCAACCATTTTGCACTTTGCAATATATGGCATATTGAAAACGTTCACAAATATGCTACATCGACCGTCAAACATACAATTTATAATTTGTTTCAGCGTTTGGTAACATTACGCATTTTTAGTTATTGCTAAAATTCAATATTTCTACATGTTACTCATTTCCAATGTGCATGGAAATTGATAGCAAAATATGCAACCTTCGTCCATGAGAGATGGTTACGTTAGATACCCCGAAATTTGGTAAAAATATAACAACAATGAGTTTCCATTTTGACAGAAAACGCATATATTTGATTGTGTTATTCCACTTATTCTCATATTGAGCATACCGACTAAAGTCTCATGTTCAATGTGTCTCTGTTTAAGACATCGAAAGTCGTGCGGCAGAAAGGTTTTTTCAAAATTTATCTGCTTTGTTTAGAGTCCTCAAGGATCAGCGCCACTGATCTAGAGACAATAACCACACGTACCAAACTTCTTTGTGCTTGAGTTTCAGAGTCACGTGATGCCCGTCTGTGGTTTCCTAGTGACTCGCAATAGTATCAGCTTTTCCATTCACGTAATCTACCCTTCCTGCCCCAAAAACCCGATTTAATAAATTTTTCCAGCGACGATCCCGTTGAGAGCTTCAGCAACGCATTTATCACGCCCTACGTCAACATTTCATTGCATTAAAAGTTTCCAGACAGAATGGGCATCGATGTGAACAATATCAAAAGTAAATGATTGTCATCCAGTATTCACTTGAGATGAGCCGCGAAAGATCATCTTAGCGCGCACGTGTTAAAGTCAGTTCAAGGCGACCACCCTGCTTCTGCCGTGTGAACCCAGTGCAGCACGGTCCACCGTTTAGACGTTCTTTGGCTTTGGCCCCCAGGCGCAGCCCGGCCAGTTCGTCCGGCTGCGCGCCCAAGCGGCGGGCGCCGCCCCGCCGCCCGCGCAGGCGCAGCAGCAGCAGCAGCACCACTTCTCGGCGCACCAGCCGCTGGTGCGCACGCAGAGCGTGGCCTTCGCCAGCCAGCCGAGCGCGCCGCCCTCCGCCCCCGGCGCGGCCGAGCTCCACAACTCGCTGCAAGGTGCGTGCGCGCCCAGCTGCTCCCGCGGGGATAGTGCGACCACGGCGAACATGTAGGCCCTCTCTGCGGTTTGTACTCATCTTGCGATCGGAGTGGGGGTTGCGGGAGACGAGTTACGTAACTGGAAGATTCACATTCACTGTCTACGTGTGGGTACCTCGGGTGAAATCCTGAATGATCCATGTGGACAAAGGCTTTCGGATGGCAGAGATCGTTAAGGCAGTAGTGCCTTAGCGATCTCGGACCGAAGGATGTTAGCCGAAGGATGGGCATGCTTGTATTTGTGTTCGTGCTTACATCCCGTATCAACATCATGTCTTGTCATCTTCACAGTTACCATACCGTTAAGTGGAATAGTGTTCTCTAATGACCTAGATATTGATAATAGCCCCCCCCATAAGATACTTCAGATTTCTCGGAGTTTTTATACGACGTGAATGCCTGAGCAGTATCCTAAGAAAAGGAAATAAAACGTCATACCGCGATTAATTAATAAGTTCGGACTTCCAATACGAGTTCGTTCCACTTTTACGAAACAGTGTTGGACAATAACGTAAAGTTCATTACAATACTTTACACAATGAGCTAAGCCTTTTTCTTACTCCTTCAAGAACTGCTTCAGGTCATATTATGACGTTAATGAGCTCGCGGTACTTTGCAAATGTTTTGCTTAAATAAAGAAAGCTTTATAATAGAGAGATCTGATGATTCTTATTTTTTGTTCCAATATGGAAAGAAACAAATGTATGTTATTAATTCTTTCACGTGTAGACAAATGGAGAATCTATAAGTGTGATCAAAGTGTAATCAGATCCGCAACGATTCCTTAACGCAATTACTCTCAGTGGAAGATTTTGAATTAATCAACTGTTTCATTTCATAACTAAATCATGAGTTTAAGGGAGAAACAAGACACAAATAAAGCAATTAAATAAAGCAATCGAAAAAATATTGTTTGATATCATAAACATGTTTCCGCTAATTTATTGGTTTTGATAAGATGTCCTTCCTTTTGAAGATTGCTACTTAATTTAGTTATCTACATAAGAGCTTCGCAAACACAATATTCATATTTTTAAATAGTATTAATCAAATTTAACTGTGATCAAAACATATAATTTTTGTTAACGTGGAATTCCTTATAAAATATTCATAATAAGTAGATTTATCACCTCTAGAAATAGCGTGAAAAGTTGACGTTTATGGAATAAAGCCTAGCAAATCATCGGCTGCGCATTCCCGAACAAGTTTGCGAGACTGCCCTCGCCGTACGCAGCACGCTTCCAAGCGCGTGAACGTTCTTGGAGAGAGTGCAGTACTGTGCACGTTTTTCGGTGCAGGGCTTCGTGCAACTTTCCGAGTGTTGCTTTTTGTCCTTAGAACGTAGAAGCGCATTATTATGAAAACGTTGAAATAATTCGACGGCATGCTTTCTTTTTCTTTGTGAACCCTAATTATTTCAATTAAAAAACGCTGTCCTAATGAAATTCCAAGTACTAAATAAGTGGAAGATCTACGATTTATTATATAAATTTAATTTAAAAAAAAAAAACACTTTGATATAGTGTTATGCGGTGTCACAGTGTATCTGGAATATAATATTTATTTTATTGGACTCTGAAAAATTGTCCAATGAGTTTCAGATCAATGGAAATAGATATACAATTTCTATATTTTCAATAAAGTATCCATAAAAATTTATCTTAATGGCATTATATTGAAAAATATACCCATTTTCCTCTAACAAAAAAAAATTACATGTATGTTCCAGGGTGCTCTATTTAAAACTATGGTCAGTTTGTAAATTTTACATAAAGTATCGATAAAAATCGAAATGTGAAATTCCGATGTGAAATTCGGATGCGATAAAAACCGATGTGAAATTCGTGAGAAAGAGATCGATGAGCTAGTCCGGCGAACCAAATTTTGTTTTCTACGCGGCACCACCTTCGACCACCACGACCACAGCTCGATTACTTCGTCAGACCACACGCTTGTTGCCATGTTGCAGGAAGAGGGAGAAGTACTGAGAAACATTTTGAATGTGGCTCAAAATAACAATTTTAAACGGGGACCAATCAAAACTAACAAGATGATGTACAAATGTGCAATATTTAGAAGAAATGCTTCATATAACTGTGTCAATAGGGTTTAACGGGATGATAATTTTGGTATCTGGCTGCATTTAAAATTCCCACTAATATTGTGACGCTAACTGATGCCTGTAGCTCATAGGTTGAAGCGGGATACGATGCCCAATAGCGCACCCATCTGTTTCTACCACGGCGAGGTGTACTTTCATCACAAGAATGTGCCCGTTTTCTCTGGCAGGATCCGTTGTCAACTCGACGTCGGGCGGTCTCTCGCCGCATGAACAAGTGCGCAGCCTGCGTCGCCGCCCAGGCGACGGTGGCGCCGCCCTGCCTCCCACGGCCCTGCCCCGCCCCCGCGGCCGCTCCGAGGACGGCAGCGCGCACCAGCAGATCCTCCTGCAGGACGAGCGCCAGAAGCTGTTCGAGCAGATCAAGGACTACAACCAACAGCAGCTGCTGCAGCAGCAGCAGCAGAAGCCCCAACAGCCGCCGCCAGGACCCGCCTTCCCTCTGGAGCATCGCGCGGTGGGCAGCGATGGCGGAGTCGATGAATCTCCCCTCCCGCCACCATCCGACCTCAACGACAACCCCCTCAAAGCTCAGGACACCCCTCGCCCCAAGGCCAACCCTCTGCGCCAGCAGCAGCAACAACAGCAGCTGCAAGCCCAGCTGCAGAAGCAGTTCCAGCTGCAGCTGCTGCAGCGCCAAGAGCTCATCCGCCAGCTGAAGCAGGCTCTGGCCAACACCCCGGCGCCCACGCATCGTCGAAGATCTCGCACAGCGCCCGCGGCGCGCCTCGGAAACTCCGGCCGCTGTTCTACGCACGGCCAGCAGCTGCAGATCTTCGACGCGCCTCAGCAGCGGGTGCCATCGCCACAACTCCGGTGGCCGCGCGGTCGATGACGGTCGCCGCCCCCCGCCACCCCCCGACCACCTCCCCAGCCGGGTTAGCGGACCGGCACCAGCGCCGTCAAGGGCGCCCAAGGCCTCTTCGACGCGAGCTGACCAAGGGAGTGCTGGCGCCGCGGCGGAGTTCGAGGTCATCCGCCACAAGCAGGACGGCGCCTGGAGGAGGTGACAAGCTGCCTCCGAACCTGCGGACAGAAGGTGACGTTCGTGTTTTTGAGGAGCAGCGGACGGGAGCGTCAAATCCAGGGGTGCGAGGAAACGCCGAGCCGGCGTCAACAAACGAGTCCCGAAGGCTTGATTCCATCATCAAGGAGCTCCACAGGGCAACATCAAGTTGCTCCTTCCACAAGCTCAGGCGGCGCCCAACGGGAATTCCTGCGTGGAAACGACTCCCCAGGCTTCGTTTTGAACCCACTTTTCTAACAAGAGTCGAGTGAGCAATCTGTTCCCACCCGAGCCGAAGTCCTTCTTCCCACTCTGAACCCAAGCGCGATGTCTACCAAGGCTTTCTGACAACACAGTGTCTCTCCCGGCGCCTTCAGATATGGAGTTCTTCCCTTGGTGGTTTTCGAGCCCTGACGAGCTAAAGAGTACAGCCATCCATACTTCGATATCAACAATCCAACGCAGCTGACTACCAGCACGATTCCGCCCCGTCTCCTCCGTCGCAGCGGCTCCAACCCAGCGCCAATCTGAGTGCTGTTCATTTCTCCCCGTCGTCCCAAGCGTACAACAGCCGCAACGTCATCCAGAGCAACCGCCAGCCTTCGCAGTTCGCGAACCCTCCCAGGAGACCGTGCGGATAGCGGCGGCCCCCGCCAACCGCCCACGTCGCCTCCGCGCCACCGCCCCCGCCACTGCCGCCCGCCCGGCGTCACCCGTCGCCGGTCCAGAGCGCTTCTCGCCACGCCCGTCACACGGTGGCGCCGCCGGTGGTGATCGTCAACAGCCCGTCACAGGCCTGCGCCGCGCACCACCCTGCGGCCGTCGACGCGACCCAGGATTCGTCCGCCGCCCGCGACGTCGCGCCGCCTGCCCCGGCCCGCCCGTGGTCAGCCGCGTGTCCTTCCCGGCAGCGAGGCCGCCTCAAGCACGGCCAGCGACGCGTCGCCTCCGCCCCCGCCGGCGTGCTCACGCAGGTGCTCAAGAAGGAGGGACTCTTCGCCATGGCCAAGTTCCTCAAGGACTCGGGGCTCGACTCCATCCTCAACGACACAGGTCAGTCAATTTACTTTGACTCCATTTACATCGCATTATAAAATACTTGTGCCAATGCTTCGCTATTGCAGTTCATTATACTTGACACGCCCGTGGTCCCGTGATTGTTAATCACGTTTACACTACGTTCTGCCAAAATTTTTTTCAGTTCAAAAATTTCACGATCGCAGGGGATGTATTAGCAGCGAAGTCGCGCTAAAGACCTAATGGTGCGGGAGTTTTCTAGAGCTCACAAAGACCACACATGTCCGATTTAATTCAAATCACTCTTTAAGCACTTCCGATACTTAAAAGAACGAAGTGTGATGATTCAGTGAAGTCGAACGAGTAGCTTTAGCTTCTATATGCGACAGACATACGTACATTCCCTTTTCGTTATATATAGATTTGTTAAATTGCAATAAAGCATACAAAAACTAACAAGAAAATAAGTCAAAGTATCTCATATCATCAATAGTTGTAAATGAAACTGAAACTTGTCTTTATTGGTCACTAATAGTTCCAGCGAAAATTGACCGTCAATGAGGTCGCCGCTTATAAAATACGAGGTTAGAGGAAACGTACATCGGGTCTATTGTGCTCAGTGCTATGAATAAACGTGTTTCTTAAATATCTTTTCAGTTATGTTAAACTCTAAAATTAACCTAAACAAAGGGTATAGGATCATTTCCCTTTTGACAGCTAGTGCTACACATCCCTTTTACTCTTACTCGAGGAACTCATTTTAGTTCTCATCAAACGAAAATCACAAGTAAACTGGATGAAATATTCACATCCGTTAGAAGCTTTAGAGTAGGGGCATCAGGTAAAGGAGTTAGCGATTAAACTTCAAGATCGATTTCGCCCTCACAGATTCATTTACGAACTTTTGGCAAGACCTCTCAGAGGGGAAGCAGGAGTGAATAAACCTCACGAGAATGCTGTCAAATGGGCGAAACAAACGCATTGTGTTGTCAATGATATTTAATAAAATCATATATTGCTATCTGACGTCCCGGTGCTGGAAGATACTAAATTAACAATATTCTCCATCATTTTTCCGATTTGTATTTTATTACAATAGAAAAATTCTAGAAAAGCTCGCTTGATATAGGCTAATCTACGAAACGAAATGAGTGCCTAGTCATTGTATTCAAGGCCTAAGTAGGTGACCGCTTAATGCAAAGGAGGCAATGGAGAGTGTATGTCCGCTGAAATATTACAATAAATTATATTCACACAGTATTTACAATAAGACAATTGCGTCATCTTTTTAATTCATAATTTTATCTCATTCAGAATTATTAGCTCTCAGAAAGACAGTGAGTCGTAGGCGGTTTTGTCCATGTAGTGCCGCTGTCTTCCTCCGAACCTACTCATGAGGCTTAACGAAGACAATTCTCCAACAGAGGAAAGAAATAGGTAAATATCGTGGCCGAAAAAACCTTATCAATGTTCAGAAACCGCTTCCTTCCTAACAGCCAATAATCACAAAAGACTCATGCCAGTACGTATTTTGGCGTAATAGACTCCTGTTAGTGAGTTGTTGTGAAGGAAATGTTTGCTCTACGCCAATAAATTATATTTGTATCAATGATATTCAGCACTAATAATAATAATAATAATGTGTACATCACAATTTTTTAAGTGTTTAATAAATGTCTTTTAAATGAAGGACTGTGGAAAACATGTGAATGCTACTCATACTCATTCCAAACTTTCGATTTCAAGTCTCTAAATAACGCACATCGTTTAAAATGGAGAGTGTATGTTTGGTTGAAAAGAAATGTATATTTCAAAGAGTATTTTGCGCAGTTTATTTGACACCATCTTAGCTTGTATTTCCTGATTTTCTTACTGTAAATCCGAAACATTCTCCTATTAGATGTCTCACATTTCGTGCTTCTTATGTCACTGCAGTTACATAAAAGTGAAAGGATGACCTAAGTGTATGCTACTAATTAGATTTCATGAGAATGTACTACATGTGCATGAAAATTCATTCATGCATTTAAATAATGATTGTGAGAAAGTTTATTTGCTGTTTTTCTGTCGTCTACGCAATCAAGCCTCGAGCAAAATTTTGCTTTGCACTCATTTAAGACACTGCTACATGGTTTATTCATGCTGTATACAATCTTATACATTTATTTATGTAACGTTCTATTTTATTTGATAATTTAGACAGATACATTCTATAATCTTTTCAGATTAGCCTATTCATGAAAGATATAAAATATTTTGAACGTTTTTAGTAATACTTGCTAATTAGTCCCAGTGAAAGTAAACAATGTTGTTGAACTCAATATCCACGATTCAATGAAACCAGCAAATATCTCCACTCTAAGGAAATATTTTCATATTTACGTACATTTTAACCGATTTAGAAATGAGTTATACAATTCTCTGCGTATATTTAATGTACAATTTTTTCACCCATAACTTTGGAAATGAACTACGATGTGGACGATTTCTTTTGCAATGGGATAACCTCCTCGTGATGGCACGATTCATTTATATTCTGAAAATGGATACAAAGATACGATAATAAATGAGAAAGTGGTTCAACAATAAAAAATAGCCCCTTAACTATAACTTATCTATACACATCTATACACAGGGGTTTTTAAAAAATGAATATTTTCCCCTTTAATCAGGAACATCTTGATGTCATGCCAATGTGAAAGGAGTATTTTCATATAAAGGGGTAGGTTATATGAACCCTCTAGGACTTACAGTTTTTTTATCTTCTCCAAAAATTTTCTCATATGGAATAATTTGCACTCATATATTTGGTTAAAATCGTATTTTATTAATACCTTTGGATTTTCCAAAATTACACAAATATAACTACTGCAAGGAGAAAACCGTAGAGTTCTTTTTTCCATTAAACCTACTCAAAAGTTTAAAATAAAATAATAATAAAAAATGTAAAACTGAATTCGCAGTACGAGTTTAAAAATACACAAAAATGCAATAAAAATAACTTCGAACATACATTTAGTATTTCAATTTGACAATACTTTAATAGATCAAAAATTGCCATAACATAATCATTTGTGTACCTTTTAACTTAAGCAATTTTATTTTTCAAAGTCTACATTTTTATCTGTATAACATGTGTTATTCCATAGTAATGTAGAAATATACCATGAATTAACTTATTTGTTTGCTCATTTTTAGTGCTGACTCTTTTACTTGTTAGTGAATATCTTGGAAATTTGCCAATCATTAACTCATAAGACAGAGTTTTGTTAATTAAAAATCAAGCTGATTATACTGGTGATGTAATTATTATGGAAATCTCTAATAATAATTGTGAGCAATAACCGTTTATTCTTATGTTTGGAGATATTCAAAATTGGCCACTTCACCTATCAGTTCCACAGCACCATTTTGCGAAAAGTGAGCCGACCTGCTCGCAAAGATCGTGGGCACACATCTACTCCGACCGGTTCCAAGCTCATGCAAATGAAGCTAACGAACGCCTTTCAGGCAGTGAATGACTCGTCTGCTTTTCCTTTTCCTTTCCCTTTCTCATCTCCCACACGCTCCTCCTGGCCGTTGGCAGTCCTCTTCTGACGGAACTCCGAAGGCGGGTTTTAAATATGGGTCGGCTTGGACGTGCGTCAACACTAGTCGGCAACAGCACGGGTCTGTATCCAGTATTTACGTAGGTCCGACAGCCGCGACCGTTTTAGGTGGGTGCGTAGGTGCCGACTGCGAATAATGTGGGAATGTTTACTCTGGGAACCGGTAGTTCCTGGCTGCCTCTTTCTCTCGGCCGTAAAGGTCCGTGGTTCTTGTGATTCAGGGGCGATGGGAATGTGATTACGAAGCTTCTAAGAGAGCTGTTGCCTGTCAAGTGAACTGTTATGAGTTACTGAAAGTGACGATGTCTCCTGAACGAAGGAGAAAGCGTAATGCGACGCGATTACTGTGACGCTTAGAACAATGAAGCTTTCGACTCGCTTGTTGGAATGTCTTTTAGAAGAAATTTTGTTGTTGTCAGCACCAGTTTTCCTCTGTGAAAATTATATATTCCCTATTGGATTATCATTGAAGTATTAATATTCAGATGCTGTAAGATAGTGTGTGTAACGCATTATCAATCGCAATTATATTCCTATTTCAATGCCCATGTTTTAATTCCTGATAATTACATTATCGCTTGTCAGTGCGACTGCATCGAGCGAAGTGGCTCAGTGCGTAGCGCGCTTCGGGTACGTCGCAGTCGGGAGGTCCGGATTCGATCCCCGGGTCGGTCACCCAGAACGGGGTTATTCGTGGTTTCCCTCGGTCATAAGGCGACTGATGGGTGGTTAAATGTACCACAATTACCTCCCACCACTCCACCTGCCACCTCTAACCATCATCCTATTCCTTTCACCCCTCATCATCACTTCATTCAGCATTTCCTGAATAAGGCCATTGCCTTTAATTGGATCTTAGTTGACTAATAATAACAATAATAATGATAATAATAATACCAACAACTACTACGATTATGATTATTAGGTATCTCTGAAAAAAATCCTAGTCAACATGTCTTTAGTATTATATTTCACGTCATATTGATAATTTTTAAACTTACCTAAGAGTATTGTTTTACCTAAGTGTAAAACCTTATTTTACACACATAAATAAGATCGAGCTCATGCACAGCACCACTTTGCATCTCGCAGAATATCTCCTCCAAAATGTTCTTTCGCAGTCTACATCTATCTCCCGCGATACAGTGAACGCGTAATTACTGAGCCTAAGTGCGGAGAATGATGCTCCTCTGTGCGGGGCCACGATGAAACGCGAGTCGTGTGGACGTAGGGGAAGGCTCTGGAGAAAGTGGAGCGCAGGTTCGTGGTGACGTTGTGGGAGCGTTGCACTGTTGTGGGAGGCAGTAAGAGACTGCACACATAGGGCATCTGAGAGGTCTAAGAGCAGTGCGTTTCCGAAAGTTAACGCGACCATTGATAGCCATTGATATCTGAGTGGGGTACTTCTAGTCAAAAAACCAAGTATAGTCAACAAAGGGGCAAAAATGGAAACAGAATACCTTGAAAGACACTTGCGTGGAAGGATTTGAACGTAACAATGTACACATCAGTGGAGCACTGAAGCTTCAGAACTTCCGTTCCAAAGTTGTTTCTTCCAATTGCTATGACCACAAATGACCACATATCGTTAATAAAGTAAATACTTTTTGGAATTTATTGACTATTAACACTAATAAAATAAATTACTAAAAATACCGTTAAATTACGTATAAACACATTTTTTACAAGAAAACATCAAATTGAGTGTACTGTATTTTTAGACCTACCAAAGGAAAATTCTGTTTGTGCTTCTGAGTGTTATTGCAATTTTTGCAATCATAAATATTGCAATAATTGCTCAGACGACCAAAAACCTTCGGGTCAAAGTTTTGCTCTTTGTCGCCTCTCAATCACTAGAACCATTATAACTGCCTCGGTCTATAAATAACTATTATGGCTTGTTGTTTCGTCTCAAAGTAGCGTGAATACGAGTAGACGTTTTTAATTGCCAAAAATAATTTTCAAATCGTATGGGCGTACTACTGTTTGGGAGATTCAGCGCAACAGGGAAATAATTAAGACGCACCTGAGCGTGGGAAAGAGTTCTACATCGCCGTTCTTCGTGTGTTTGCAGGACCGTACACCATTTTCATTCCCACTGACAAAGCGTTTCGCGCCCTGCTTGTGCAACTGGGCGGCCCCGACAAGGCGGAGATCAAGTTCAGAGAGAATCCACGACTTCTCAGCGGGGTGAGTACACTTTCTCTTTCGCTTATGTTCTCTCTTTGTTTCGTGATGCTTCTGATCTATGTTATGTCTCGTTATTTCTCATTCCTTACAATAGTTAAACGACAGGAAACATACAATGATTGCGAACCTCTTAAACATTCCAACTATATGAATTTGAGTCTCAATACTCCGTTAAGTAATTATGTTTTCAAAAAGTTCACGACTTGAAATACTCATTACAACAATGATATTCGATGGAAATATGTGACCTGTAGGAAAAATCACAAGAGTTTGCTGAGAAACAAATACAACGCCGTATCGTCCTGTCTAGTACCTATTTTTAAATAAAGCAGGAATTTTCTGTTTGTTATCACTTACTAATACCTTTCTCGACTGGCGTCGATTATGCGCGGGGAATGTTTGTTCAGAGAACACCAGTGATACAGATTGCGTGATAGTAGGTCACAGGGATAATCCAACGCCTTTGTGCGATACACATGTATGAATATGGCATTTTGGGTCGGTTCTAGCTAACGGTATTCCCCATAACTGAGATTAGGTAATTCTCACGCTTGGGTAGTGTGACGAATACGACATATTCCCTTCACCGTAAATAGCAAACTCCGCCTGCTTGACCCTTTCTCAGTCACACTGCTACAGAAAATGAGACATATTAAAGGAAAGCCACAACTCAGTTTTTGATCCACCCAGGAGTCAAATCTAGGATTGCACTACGGAAAGCTAAGTATGTTGAGCCACCCTATGGACGCGAGATATACATACATACATACATACATACATACATACATACATAATTTCATAACTAGCGTGGGATTCCAGTCCGCCACTCTTTATGACAGTTGGCATTTATTCTTCCACTGGGACCATCCAATCAGACTTCTCGTAATTTAGTCCGACTGCTCGTAATTTAGATGGATTATTCGTCATTTAGACCGACTATTCACAGTGTAGACCGATAGTCGTAAGACAGACACCTAGCGGACAAAACTTCGCAGAATGAGCGCACGCCGATCCGTGTTTGTGATATCCGCCAATGGGACGTGTGTGTGTGCGTGTGTCTGTCATAGCTGCTGCTGCACCACGTGATCCCCGGCGCGTTCCGATTGGGCGACCTGCAGGACGAGATGACGGGCGTCAGCCTGGCGGGCACGCAGCTGCGCGTCAACACCTACCGCACGCAGGACACGCACTGGAACGACGTCCAGGTGAGTGCCAACTGTCTCTCCACACCTACATCCAGACCCGCAACAAGCAACGCAGTTTTCTGTGAGTGTTATTTGAAGGAGGCGAGAATATTCTTAGATTCCTAGCGCGCCGTCTACTAAGGTCGTGACTTCTAGGCTGTCCGGGTGACGCCGCGTCGTTCGCAGAGAGGCGGACGTTTCGCCTGTCATATCGCAAGTATCTTCAGGGGAGTGACGTTAATAACGGATCACTACCTTGAAGAATCCTGAGATATGACAGGCGAAACGTCGCTGTCTCTGCCAACGACGCGGTGCCACCCGGACAGCCTAGAAGTCATGAACTGGAGCCGCGGAAGCTCACGTGTACGTCTACTAAGGTCATTGCGAGTGTTTTAGGACTCCCGATTGTCGCCTGCCGTGTCGAAGGCTGTGAAGCCGACATTTCGACCATCCGTTGTGGTCTTCTTCAGGGCTGGTCGGCTTCATATTTGGGAGACCAGCTCTGAGGAAGACAACGACAAAATGGTCGAAACGTCGGCACCACATCCTTTGACACGGCGTCCCCCGGATGGCCTAGGGCATTCCCATGAGTCTAGCCGCAGAAGCCTACGACTTGTCTTTACATAGGTCATTAGTCTCGTAAGTGTGGTACATGTTATATTCTGAAAGGTGGAGGGGTTTCACCCTTATTTGTGACCTTCCCATCGGTTTGCGAGGGTTTTCCCTCTCAAGATATCTCCTATCAGCAAGCAGCGCTCCAGTCGGAATGTGCTCTAAGCTCCTAACTGGTCTCTCGACACGTGTGACCGGGTACGTGCATGTAAGTTGGTATGTCTACAAGGGAAGAGGAGAGGCAACGGTGAGGAAGGAAAAATCCTGTGCGATCTGTGGCCCGTTTCTTGGGGAGCTGCTCCGGTATTCACCTTGTATTGATCGGAGGGACGGAAAACTATCGATCGAAAAAGCCGATCGCTAATGTTCTCCTTTGCACAGTGAATGAATTCAACCCAGCTCTGTAGTTGCAGTAACCGTCTCTGACAATTTAACGCGTTGTTGTACACTACCCTGCACATTGCGGCTTCAACATGACTAATGAACGAAATCTCAAAACATAAACATCTACAACAGACATCTTGTCTTAAGGCCACGTTCACAGCCTCTGCCACAGCCGAAACTTATCGACATTCAACTCCCCACATTGAAAACTCACACTGGTGATAACAGGTACCTGCGAGCTTTTTGATCGATTCCGTATGACCCATTTGAGCGTCAACGCTGAAGTGCGGCTACAGCAAAGTAAATAAATTCTCGCAAGCTGATTTCTTTAGAGCAGGTCTCATGACATACAACAGCACGTGGGAAGATAAGTGGCAGAGAACTCGTGATCATCGATGCTAAAGAGGTGTTGCCACTGAGGTATCGCAGCCCATAAATAATTTTCTGGATGCGTTTTTGTTGCCGAAATGGAGAAATCCGAATTTTTCAAAAAATTATCGAAAAAAGCTGCCAATTGTAGAAATGTCTTTCGGTTAAATGAGAAATTTCAAGAGATAGCTTAGATGCTGCTCTCTTAAAATAATCAAAAACTTTTCAAAAGAAATATCGGTTTTGTTCGTTCATTGTAAATGGGTTGTACAAGACGTTTTTAAAATAATTATTTGTTAACACTTGTAAGAAGCAGGTACAATGATGTAGGCCTACTTAATGAAAATAAAGCACTCTTTTAGTTGCTAATCAGATCCTGTTGAACCTGCCTCTACCAAAACCGGCCGAGGGACATCATCGTCTTTCTCTTACTTGGCAACGGAAGCGAATTTCCTTGGCACGCGTCGTCCGGGCCTGCTGACCGTAGATCTCGCTTTAAAAGCACGCTTTTCTTGGAGTGAGCCTTCTCCGCAACCCAGTTTCTCCTTAAAAGTTCACTTTCGTACATGCTTCAACGATTTGGCTGTTAATGTGACATTACTCAGCCACCATGATTAATTTTATGCCGTATTTGAGAAGTTCGGAGTTCGATTTCACTGGATTCTATCTTGTCTGCACTTCCTCCGTGATATTTTGGGCTGTCAGACCTGTTAATAAATCATGGGACTTTACTTCCTTTTCCCTCCCTTTTTTATTTTGTTGCTCCGTCACCACTTTCACACAAACACTTCGCTTTCATAATATTGCAGTGTCCGATTTTTCTCTACGAATATTAAGTCAATGCAAGATTAGATATGTGTATATAGTTCGTAAATGTAAATGAAGTGTGTATTGAATTTAAATGGGGTATATTTTGAGGGTAAATAAACTCATACACTACATTTTTAAACTTATTTACTTCAAACTTTGTTAATATAACTATGTTTAATATTCAGAGTTAAGAAATCTCTGAGTTTAGATAGGTGTAGAGGAGTCTGAAGATTCCATTAAGATCCGTTAGAAGAACGAGAATATACAAATATGACTTATCATTTAAAAAAATGCCTAAATTTTGATCTAATGGATTTGACGAATGAAGTCATAATTCATTTTAAACGGTGAATCTATTCTCAAAATAGTATTTGTAACTGTTCTATTTTAGAACAAAACATTACTTGAGTTATTTGTGAACTCGTTTCATCGTACTTACCTCAGTGATCAATTGGCAAGGTATTACTTTCATCCCATTTTCAATTTGAAATTCAGAAAATTGAAATGTAAAATTGTAAATATCGGGCAATTTATCATTGAACACTACAAATTTATGCGAAACTTTTTTTTTTCAAAAGTAAAGGGGGAAACGGGGTAAAAGGATGATGGGGTTATTAAAAACTTTTTATAAAATATTCCAGATACTTAATTTTGCGTTGAGATCGAAGTATGCAGCGAAGCGAAAAGCTCTCGTGTTTCCATGCCCCCCCCCCAAAAAAAACTTTTCTCGTATATCTCTCCGCGGATGTAGCGTTGCGGAATGTGGAGGAACTAGACGGATGAATAATACGTGGACGATAACCATGCCAGGTGTGCTCTCAGTGGCCAACGTGTTTGTGTGAAAGGCCCTCATAAATTGTCGTGGACAAGGTAAATGGGCCTCTGTTCTTTTTCTGATAACCTTTAAACGACGTGAATAATTTCGAAGTACCGGTATAAATATTTCAAGAGTTTCTGTCATGTTAACGAAAAATGTAATATAATATGTCTGTTATGTACGTATATTTATATAAATTTCAAAAATCAACATTACGAAATTTGTTTTACACCTTTCACACGTCATGCTCAATATATTGATGCTCCAAACTTTGAAATTTAAAAAAGAAGATACCTAAAATGTATGAACCTAAAATGAAAACTCGAAACTTCAAATTTTCGAGATTATTATTTCGTAATACAAGATGCATTTACATGCTTGTGAATTATTAAGGTGAAGATAAATGAGTACTCGAGTATCAAGGGATTCAACGTCATCGAGTATAATACTTACGTATCCCAATACTAATATTATGTTAAGTAACATTATTAACTTTTGTCTTTTCTTCCATTATAGATCATGAGTCCCCTCTCCCCCATTACAACCTTGTTGAAAACATTGATATTATTTTGAAAGAAACAGACTAAATATAAATAAATTACAGTTATGATTTCCCCGTGAATAATTCGCAAAGTTCGTTAAAACATTCATTGTAATGTACACTAGCATTTATTCACTTGCAAAAGTCCCTTGTTAACAACGACAGAATTTTGTAACCTCACAAATCTTCTGGTTGAAACCTTTCCCCCAAACGTATGATCACTATATAATGTAAAGTATTACAAGTGGTGCCATTCGCAGTGATTCGGGGCCCGCAGATGATGAACTTTGGCACCCCACAGCCCCTGCTTGACGACTCGGAACGTGCGCTCAACGCAACTTATTTCAGAGATGTTCCAAATGCGTCTACGCCATTTTGGCACCAACGAAATGCCATGATTCACATTCGGTAATGTCTTCTGTACTGTGTTGGAAATATCTTTCCATGTACTTTGTTCTGGATTTGTTACGTCAGATCCTGACATGCGTACAAAACAGACGTGCAAAGCACTCGTTTTCGAAGTGAATCATGTAGCGCCACAAGTCCTCTAGGGTAAAGTGAGTTGAAAATTGTTATTGAACGATGAATGAGTGTACTTCGTAGAGAAACGGAGCTGTTGCATGCGACCGACTTTAAGAACGGGAAGTAAGTGGATTTGTTTGGCGAACGAGTTTAGCGAACGAGTCATTTGCCGAGACAGCTGCTCTAACTCCGCACTATTCTTAAATAGTCGCATTGAATTATTTATCTATCCCTACCCGACTGATTTCCTGCGATCAGTGGTCATTACAAAATATTGTAACTAATCACTGGAAAGGGTTAGGTGTTGGGTCCAAATCAAAGCTTACAACTTAATTTTTTTTGTTAATTCTATACACAAGAGCCCAAAAACAGAACCTTAAAGCTGACCATCAAAGAGATTCGATACGATCCAAAGTTGGGGTGTACGTGTCAAATAATTATTTCCGAAATACGTTTCGTAGAATATTTTATACGAGATTGGAGAATTATAGATTGGTTAAATTCTCGGCTATCCGGGAGACGTCTCCCGGACAGCCTAACATCTCCCGGATAGCCGAGAATTTATGGATTCGAGCCGCGGAAGCTTACGTATACACTTATAGATTGGTTCCCAATCTCGTCATAATGACCACGTTCGATAATCTTCAATAGAGTTTAAATCTTATGATAAATCTTACAACACACTTATCGAAGGTTTTCTCCACTTTGTAGAAAAATTAAATATATTACATTTGACTATTCACACGTCGAATGTGGGAGACTGCTGTAGTTAGTTAGTCCTCAAAGACCATTACTTCCATATTTATATCTGAAAGTAGATTGACATGTGCATGGCTGATTTTTTGCAGTAGCTATTTAGCTAGGTCGAACTGAACCACTATTGTCTAGGCTATCTGGGTAGCCTACGTAATCATATGAATTGATCCACTGTCTGGAGAATAGTTCTAACGACTGGCTGCTCTGATTAGTA